GCCTTTACTATCCTTGCCTTTAAGGTCAAATTCATAAAATCTTCTCTAAGACCAAGGCCCATAATTATGTCTTCTTCTATGTAATTTATTGTTTCAGGTCATATATTTATGTCTTTGATTCATTTTGATTTAATTTTTGCATATGGGAACTATCCTGATCTTAATTGAAGCCCTAGCATCTTGCACAAGACTCAGCACATTATAGGAGCTCACAACATATTTGTTGATAGGATGAATTAATGGATGGATAGATGAATGAATACAAAAATAGATTATTCTCAGAAAATTGAACCAAAATAATGCAGTAAAAAGGCCAGAAAAGGAAAGTTTTAAAGTGGTGTTGTTAAATTACAGGGAGACAGGGATTCCAAAATGATCACTAAACTGAATGTTCAGAAGGGATTTTGCCTTCAGTGAGTTGTTTCAGTAAGAGCATTTGGGAATGTAAAAAAATTAAGAATGATGTATGTAGTAAAGATATGATTAAAAAGCTTCTGCACAGCTAAAAAACCACTATCAGAATGAAAAGGAAACCAACCATATGGGAGAACATATTTGCCAATGATACATTGGACAAAGATTTGATCTTCAAAATATATAAAGAACTCATCTGATTCAACACCAGAAAGACAAACAATTCAATTAAAAAATGGGCAAAGGACCTGAATAAACACTTCTCCAAGGAGAACATACAGAGGGCATATGAAAGGATGCTCAACATCACTGGCCATCAGAGAAGTAGAATGAGATAGCACCTCACACTGGTCAGAATGGCCATGGCCATCATAAATCAAGAAACAAGTGCTGGTAAGGATGTAGAGAAAAGGGAACCCTAGTGCACTGTTGTTGGGAATGTTACACTGGTGCAGCCACTGTGGAAAATAATACAGAATTTCCTCAAACAACAAAAAATGCAACTATGTTTTTATCCAGCGATTCCACTGCTGGGAATATACCCTAAGAATATCAAATCAGCAATTCAAAAGAACTTATGCACCCCAATTTTCATAGCAGTGGTACTTACAATAGTCAAGTGCTAGAAACAGCCTAAGTGCCCATTAGTAGATGAGTGGATCAGACAACTGTGCTACACACAGTGGAATATGACACAACAGAAAGACAGAAGGTCCTCCTACCTTTTGCAACAGCATGGATGGAACTGGGGAATATTATGCTAAGTGAAATAAGTCAGGCAGTGAAAGACAAATACCATATGACCTGAGCTGTAAAAGGAATCTAATGAACAAAATAAAATGAGCAAATAGAACCATAGGCATGGAAACATGGAACACATCAATGGTGACCAGAGGAAAGGGGAGAGGGATTAAGGTGGAAGGAAGGGGAAGGGACTAGTCAAGAAACATGCATGAATGACTCGTGGATATGGACAACAGTATAGGGCAGAGGTGTCACACTCATTTTCACTGGGGCCACATCAGCCTCACAGTTGCCTTTAAAGGGCCAAATGTAATTTTAGGACTGTATAAATGTAACTACCATTAACAGTTGAGTGAGAACTTGTGCTGCCAGTGGGAAGAAACAAGGTGCTTGGCTGGATAAAACAAGGTGGAGGGCCAGATTCAGCCCACAGGCCTTGTGTTTATCACCTGTAGTATAGGGATTGATATGGGAGCAGGAGGTGGGCTGGGCTGAGGGAAAAATTGGGACAACTGCAATAGAATAACAATAAAAATATTCTAAAAATATGATTATAGTAATATTACCTTGTCTTTTTATTAATTTGGTAGAAGCAGAAAAGTTGATGTATCTGAGAATAGCAAAATCAAAGAAGGGGTTAGTTGGTTTATTCATTTTAGAATGAATGCAATAGTAAGCATATTAGTTGATAAAATACAAGTATTAGTCAATAGAAAAAAATACTGAAGGTATAGAGGGGGAAAAGGAATTACAAACAAATTGTGAAAAAGAAACTTAATCACATGTAAACAGAGAAAAACCTACTGTCCCCAGAGACCAGAGTAAAACAATGTGAAAGTCAGTGACATAATGAACCAAATAAATGTGCTGTCACCTCAACTTAACCTAGAAAATGCATTTACAAGATATTCCAAAGAAAGTATTCAATAAATACTTGTTAAATGAATGGAATGAACAGATACATGAATAGATGCCGTTATATAAATGTGTTGTTTTATGTTTCTTACCAAAGACATGATCTGCCTTATTTTCTTAAGCTAAATCATTGAAGTGATAAGGAATGACAGATTCTACTGATCAGGGAATGCATTCAATGAACACTTTCTAACAACAGATTCAACAAAAATGTGATAAATGGCTTTATGTATTGTACCATTACTGAAATCCCTAATGAGGAAATTATTTATGTGCTAATATTATTCATTTTACCAAAAGTTACAGTAAGTAAAGGGAAACAGTTTATATAAAAGAAAAGTATGTTCAATCAATAATCAGGAAATATGTATGCATCAATATTTGTCAAACTCTAGAAGAAAAACATGATTAAGAAATAAAAAGCTTAATTTTCACTGTTTAAAATAACTGCTCAACCTGAAAATTAAATCCCAGATCTTATTTTCTAATCTGTTGAGCATTCTCTTTGTAACATGTTATACTTTTAATGCTTTCACATTCCAAAAATATACACCCAACTTTATAAAATACTATTTAAAATTTACACAGAAGTTACTTTAAAATAAATCATATGTACACTAACTTCATAATACTCTCCTCTGTACCTACCTCAGGACTTAGTAGTAAATTAAAAGGTCACAGAAACAGCTTAAAACTTACATGTCATTTGAAATTGATTGACATTGAAAATACAACATGAGTATATACCGGATTTAGCTTCTACTTGTTAACTCCCAGAATATTACTATAATGTTGCTTATTTTATTGTGGATTTCAATACAGCCTTTCTCAAAAGAAAAATATATTTCTTTTTTAAAAAACACCAGGGAACAAAAATGTTTCATAGCGTAGTAGCTTGATAACTAAATTTAGAATTTGCATTATTCTTTTAACAATTTAATTACTGCCTACCATGAACAAAACAGGTTAGTGACACAGTCATAGTATTGTGTGCTGGGTGAAACCCTGAGCAAGTAAAGGATTGACTGCTGTTGGAATGAGGGTAACACTCAAATTATAAGTCAAATTTAAGAGTCAAATTATAGCAACAACAATTAGTACAATATATATACAGTCCATTTCATAATGTGAGTTTCACACCCAACTGCAATTGTAAATTACCCTTGTGTGGCAAAGACATAAAAATGAAAAATTAAACCAAATCAAGAAAATGTGAATTTAAGTTAATTGCATAATTGATGAAATAGATTTGAGAGATATTATTGAATAAATGACAGGATATATCAATCACCAATATAGTAAAAATGGACTTAAACAAATGAGAATTATGGGGAAAATAATGGTCTCCAAGTAGCCAAATAACTTATTTTGCCTTTGCAAAGGACTTGGAATGCAGAGGCACCTTGGAGCTAACCTCTGGCATCCCTCCTTATTCTCAGCCCATGTTGAGGAGCTCCTGGCTTTTTCTAGGCCTATGTATCAAAGCAAGTATGACCATCAAGTCAGAACACTGAATGTTTTCAGTTGCTGTCCCAGAAATTTTATATTCTAATGAGAATTACCCTTCTAAGCACTCTTCTTAGGAGGCTCTGCATTCACTGCGCCTCAGAAACTTTCTACTCAGAAATTTTGAACTGCTTCACATATTTCTATATATGTATAGAGTATCTTTATGTCCTTTATGTGTATTTTAGATAAATATTTAAGCCAGTTTCATGAATGTGTATATATACTGTAGCATTCCCTGGACACTGCTTGTAATATCATATGTACATGTTTGAATTAAAAAATGGCAGTGATTTGGTTATATTTTGCAGATGAGAAGTTCACGAGTGTTCTCTAATCTCCATGAACTGCTGGCACCAATTATAACACATATACCGTAGCCCCTACGAGATAAAGTAGTATGGTAATTTTGACTAGAATTAGCCGCCATGCTGTGGACCGCTCTGCCTGGTTTCAGGAATTGTAACTCTCTACCCCCTGTGGCTAAGGATGAGCAAGCTAGAGCTAAGACCTCTGGAATGCAAGCTGCAGGAAACAAAGCTTGTCAAAGTTTGTCTCTGGTAGCAAATGCTGCCTCGGTTTCCTCCCTGTCCCCAAAGCATGGTCGGAAGTCCTTGACGAGTAAGAAGAGGGGCAACCTAGGTCAGATACAACCACTTGGAAGGCCACCATGGAAAGACTCAGGGAGGCTGCGACAAAGAGGGAGCCATGGACCGCCCCCCCACACACACACACCCGCGCACCACGGGGCTTTGAAATAGCCCAAGTCCCCTTGTCTTCTGGAAGAAGCACTTCCTGGCTCTAATCCCCTTAAGCCTGAATACCTGATGGGGAGGGGTGCAGCTCCTTGCCTTGCTAGAGCCTGTCCAGGGGAAAAATCTAGCATCACAAAGACTTCCTGATAAACCTGGGAAATCTGCTCTGCTAAGAATGCTTTCATTCATATGTTAAGTGTTCGAGCAGGAAACCCTAAAATTCTGTTCCTGACAGACTCTGACTCAGACTAAGCCCTCAGATTTTTTAAAAATGTTATCTACTGTTTGATCCTTGCTGCCCTGTATTCCTGTGTATTACAACCCAATAAAAGGCCTTGCAGGAAGGGGCTCAACACCTTTTCCCCCTGAGAAACTGGCCATTGCTCAAGACCTGTTTCCTCTGGGAAACTGGCCACCTCTCCTCCCCAGGCAGATCACATCATGTCTCAGTCATGTTTACTCTCATCCATGGCACATGGGGGTACTTTTGAGGGAAGTTTCCCCCACACCACCATATTTTAAGACATACCCACACTTTTTAGTGTTAATGGCTTGTGTTATTTTCCAAGATTTTCATGCATATAAATATTTCTGTTCGGAAACACTTTGAAGTTATTGTCAGAAGTAAATAATAATTAGCAATGACTAACAGGGCATTGTGAATACCTTCTGATGTTGTTCTTCCTTCATTTTTTGTAATTTTCTATTTTCTTCTTCCTTTAGAGAATCCTTATACACCTGGCTTTTGGCCTGTAAAGGCATAGGAAGAAAATCTTAGGAAAAAGCATCACCGCAATATACTAGTCAGTCTACCATGGATCTGGTTTTAATTAACTCATCCTCTGTACTAAGCATACAGCATGATTTCCATACACACTTGCCTATTGAGTGATTTATGCATATGTCTGAAAATGCTCCTTGGGATATATAAAAAAGAAAGCTAGTAAGGCACATTTTAAAGTATGATCTATTAATTAATCTTTAAAAATACCGACTCAGAGATAGTCAACATACTGTGTTCTTTCTAATGAGAAGGCTTTGAAATAGAGAAAAAAATATTTTTTCAAGAATATTCCCATTGACTGATCAGTCAATATCAGGAACAAGCAACAATGGCACTGACTTAGAAGCACTGACATATCTACTGCTCACTAATGGTATCCTATTAAATAGTCTGTCAGCTGGTGACTGATACCACACTATCCCAGATGTCTGTTTCTTTCTAAGTCTTTGCATTCCCAATCTATACCTGGAGCTCATTCCTATTTCCAAGCAGAAAAACAAGGCCTGTTTAAGAGCACAAGAATCATCATTCTGGCTGAATCAGGACCAGGGGGAGCCAGCCTTAAGAGAGCTAGCACACACAGCAGGGTGTCTGTAGTCCCACAGACCCACCATGTCAGGGTTCCACACACTGGCACAGTAACCAGATATTCTGGAATTTATGAGATATCAAGTATTCTGTCTCTCTCACACTGATTTGTAGTCCAGCTTCTGTAAGGCACAGAGGCCAGGCTGATAAGCTACTGTGTCTGAAATTCCATTTTCTCATAAAACTACCAGCATCCTCATGGCAGTAGGCTGCATATTTCAAACCTAGTTCTTTGGACTAATAATCCATAAAGGTTATGTAGGCTTATCCTCCCCACCCTTTTCTCTTACTATAAGATTTCCTCAAGCATTTCTTAATTCATTCCCCCATTTCTGTCATTATAAAACCCATTTTCCATCAAATAACTTCATCAATAACATTACTAATTAAAATAGTGGAGCTCTGAGTGTTTGTTCAGAAATTCGTTATATATACAAACCCCACTATAGCTATATCCTCTTATCTATATACTAAACAAAAGGTGACTATGATAGGACAGAATGACCCTTATTTTTAGAGAAGGCTAGTCTTCATCACAAATATTCTACATAGAACCTAAAAGGGAGGGAAAGGACAAGGGAGTGCTTCTAATCAAGACATTAAAAGAAGGAGTAAAATATTTAGTTAAATCAGAAATGATGACTTGATTTGGGAACCTAAATTCTATTTGTACTCCTTCCTTTTAAATGTAACCACTTGTTCTTTTATCAGAATATGGTCCTAGTTTTTGACTCAAAAAGAAAAGTTGGACACATAAAGTGTCATTTAAAAGGCTACAGAAACTGGGAGGTCACATAGCACCTCACTATAAAGACTTCAAAATTATTTGCCATCCTAACAGGTTCTCACCCAGATGAGATCTCTAGGCAAGACAGGACGCTTCTGTTTAAAAACAGGGAAGAAAAAAACTTTTGATCACTAGTTTTCTTAGTTCTAACGGCTAGAATTTTCTATGTCACTGTATTTACATATTTTTCTATCATTAAATACTAATTTAACATATTAAAACCTAAACTTTGGTATTCAATGAAAATGCAGTTTTAATCATCCTCTCCCAAAAGCTATATTTATAATATAAGCATTCGATAAACAATATTTAAACCTCCTGTGTGCAAGCTCTGTGGTAAGACATGGTCCCAGATCTCAAGTGCTTATAGCTTAGTGTGGAAGACAGACAAGAAGATTAATCACTACAGTACATCACGATAGCTACAAAGAAGGATATTTAACTAAATTGGATCAAAGATATTTTCTCCAAGTGCGTGACACAAAGCTGTGTTTTAAAGAGCATAAATCACACTAAGTAAGGGGAAGGATATGCAAGCAAATGAAAAATAGCATTGTATTGGTTTGCTTAGGCTTCCATAACAAAGTATAACAGTCTAGATGGCTCAAACAACAGAAATTTGCTGTCTCACAGTTTTGGAGCCCAGGAGTCCAAAATCAAGGTGTCTGCAAGGTTGGTTCCTTCTGGGGACCATAAAAGAAGGGTCCAGGAGTATTTTCTTGGATTGTAGATGGACATCTTCCCTCTGCACATGTCTATCTCTCTGCCCAAATTTCCCCCTTATAAAAAAATACCTTTCCTATTGAATTAGAACCCACCCTAATGAGATCATTTTAACTCGATTACCGCTTAAAGCCCAATATTGAAATAAGGTCACACTCTGAAGTACTGGAGTTTAGCACTTCAACATATAAATTTGGCAGGGAGGCAAACCCAATTCAACCCATGAGAAACATTAAGTTCCTATTTTAAGATGATGGAATAAAAATGCTTCTGTTCCATTCTTCTTTCAAAAATTACCCTAAACAGAGGAGGAAATGAAACAAACAAACTCTATCTTCAGAAACCAAGAGATAGCTCACTGGCTACCTGGAAATAGAGAACATGTATAAGACTCCAAGTTTCTCCACAGATCAATGTGAGGGTCCAATATTTGTATCAGTTGCTGGGGGAGACTGAAGGATGACAGGAAAGTGCCCATACCTGCTCCCACCCTGAAAATTCAGATGTAATTCTCCCAATCCTGACAGGAAATAAAAAATGTATTCTCTGCATTATACTAAACAGGGCACGCTTCATACAGAGCCAGCAGCAGTCAAATTCCTGGTTGAGAATGAAAGGATTCTGAAAAATCCTGCATATTGAGCACTGAGCCTCTGGGCCACCTTCCTTGAAGTTTTCTTTCCTTTTTTAAAAAAGTATTTGTTATCGATTATGCTATTACAGTTGTCCCAATTGTTCCCCTTTTGCCATCCCTCAAACCAGGGCTCCCTCCTCAGGCCATCCCCCCACCAGTGTTCATGTCCATTGGTCATGCATATAACTTCTTTGGCTGTTCCACTTCCTATACTGTACTTTCCATCCCATGGGTATTCTGTAACTATCAATTTGTATTTCTTAATCCCCTCACCTCTTTACCCATGCCCTCACAGCCCACTCCCATCTGGCAACCATCAAAACGCTCTCTGTATCCATCATTCTGTCGCTGTAAGTAAGTAAGAACAGAATTTCAATGAGCATATCCTTCCTTTCCGACTGCATCTTTTTTTCTGCTGCTGAGGTCCTCTCTAAGATCTTTGAACATCATTATAACCAGTGTTTTGAATTCTGCATCTGATAGATTGCTTATCTCCATTTTCTTTCAGCCCTTTTCCTGAAGTTTTGGTCTGTTCATCATTTGGGTTATGTTTCTTTGTCTCCTCATTTTGGCAGCCTCCCTGTGTTCGTTGTATGTATTAGGTAGAGCTGCTTCGACTCCACATATAGTATGGCCTAATGTAGTAGGTGTCCTGTAGGGTCCAGTGGCATAACTTTCCCTATCACCCAAGCTGGGTACTTGAGGTGTGCCCTTCATGTGGGCTGAGAACACCCTCTTCTTGTAGTTGAGACTTGGTTGCTATTAGTAGATCAATGGGAGGGATTTACCCAGACCAGTCAGCTGTGACAACTGACTACAAACCTCTGCCCTCCATGGAAGATCAACTGTGCAGAATCAGGGTGCTAGTGCTCTGACATGGTCTGTATGTGTCCACTGGGTACACAGGCTCTGGGGTTTCTCAGTTAGTACAGGCCAAGATCAGCCCCTGCCTATGTTTTACCTGGGGCCACCCTGCCTGAGCTATCAAGCAATTTGAGATGACTGCTACTTGTGCTGGGCTTGGAGATATCCAGGTGAAGCCAAGCTGTGAAACTAGGCTGGCTGCTGCTGATGCAGGGTCTAGGGCTCACAGACCAGCTGTTACTTTTTTAATAGAAATTAGGAATGACCTATACCAGCCATTCATATAAAAAAGCAGCTTGCATGGGCCCATAAGTTGGGTAGAGTGTAGTCCTTGGGGATTTCCAAGGTGGGTCAAAGAGTGTTAAGCAGGATAATGGAGTCTCAGATATGGCACCAGTTTGGTATCTCTTTGAGGGGAGGGTTTAGAAAAGGGACAATGGCCTCTCCTTGCCTTGATGCCAGACACTTCAATTTTTCCCTGTATATCTCTGGTACCTTTCAAGCTACCAACCCAGGTCTGGAGCTCAGAGAGAGTGAGTCTAAGTGGTTGAATCTGTGTGGGTTCTTTAAGAGGAACTACTTGGGGATCCAGCAGATTTTTCCACCAACTCAATCTCTGCTTTTTTTTTTTTTTTTTTTTTTTTTGCAGCCAGAGGCTATGGGGACTTATGTTCCTGGCACTGGAACCTTGTGCTGGGGGCCTGGCGTGGGACTTCTCACTCCCCAGATATCCATCTCAAATTTTTACCCACCATGTGAGGGTGAGGAACCAGCCTATTTTGCCTCTGCATCCTCCTACCAGTCTGGGTGGATGTGGTTTCTTTAAATCCATAGTTGTCAGACTTCCATTCTGACAGTTCTGAGTGATAGTTGTTGTATATTTTAGTTGTAATTTTGATTTGGTTGTATGAAGAGGTGAGCCATGTCTGCCTATGCTGCCATCTTGACTGGCAAGTCCTTACTTGAAGTTTTTGTATGCTCTCTGCCCTTTCCTTTGAGAGGCAGAAAGTGAGATTTTATTCATGAAACAAGAAATTACTGTAATTTTTAAATAGCCACAGAAAAAAGCTCTTGGCAATTAAAACTATCTCCTCTGGGAACTTCCAGCCAAGATGGAGGCATAGGAAGACACACTGTGCCTCTTTGAATAACCAAAATAAGGACAACAATTTAGAAACAAAATAACAACCAGAACTGACAGAAAATTAAACTGTATGTAAGTCCAACAACCAAGAAGTTAAAATAGACTCATTCATCTAGGCTGGTAGAAGGGGAGGAGTTGGGCACCCAAGTGGAGAGGGGTCCGGGCAAAAAAAAGTAGTTGCATCGGGCAGGCAAGTCAGTGAAGGGTGGACCCTGGGTGCACAGGGGGTGGCTGGTGGACCCCAGGCTTGGGGTGGCAATGGGCAGACCCAGGGAGGTGGCGATTGTGAAGCCGGGAACAGTGTGAGAGGTGGCTGGCTGACCATGCAGTCCCACATTCACATGCAGATAAAGCAGGCAAAACTGGGGAGTGAGACAAGCCACAACCCAGGGTCCCAGCATGGGAAAATAAAGCTTCAAAACACTGTTTGAAAATACCTGTGGGGGTCAAGGTGCTGGGAGAGACTCCTAGCCTTACAGGAGAGTTCATTGGAGAGATCCACAAGGTCCTAGAATGTGCCTGGGCACATTCCCAACCACATGGGAATCAGCCCCAGAAAGGTCCAGTTTGATTGGGAGAAGCTCAGAAGGGACTGAAATCTGACAGAGAGTGGAGCAAGTGCCACTGTTCCCTCTCAGACCTGCCCCCACATATAGTGTCATAACCCGGCAACTGGGTTGTCCCACCGGGGTGAACACCTAAGGCTCTGTCCCTCATACGTAACAGGTGTGACAAGACAAAAAAATGGCCCAAATGAAAGAACAGATCAAAACTCCACAACAAATACAACTAAGCGACTAAGAGATAGCCAACCTATCAGATGCACAGTTCAAAGCACTGGTGATTAGGATGCTCACAGAATTAGCTGAATTTGGTCACAAATTAGGTAAAAAAATGAAGGCTATGCTAAATGAAATGAAAGAAAATGCACAGGGAACCAAGAGTGATGGGAAGGAAACTGGGACTCAATTCAGTGGAGTGGACCAGAAGGAAGAAAGAAACATCCAATCAGAATATATATATATATATATATATATATATATATATATATACACACACACACACACACACACACACACTTTTTCCTATCTCTCACATATTTTCTTGACATAATGTATCTGCCCCCAGTTTCTTAAACACTGCTCCTAGAATCATTATAATTTTCCAAGTGATAAGAGCACTAGTAGAATCTTTTGTTCTAATGAGGTGACTCTGGGTGCCTCCATGATTACAAGCTTGGAATTTTCAGCTTCACCCACCCCATCCTCTAGTCAGGTCAAAGGAGCTAGAGATGGAGTTAATAATTGATCATGTCTTTGTAAAAAACCCTCTATAAACATCTCAGAAATAAAGGGATTCAGGGAATATCTAGCTAGGAGAACACAGCCATGTTCCAGAAGGGTGGCCACACCTCAACCCCATGGTAACACAGAGTGTCCTTCTGTTCAGGACCCTCCTAGACCTTGTCTTACACGTATCTTTGTCTGGCTGTTTATCTGTACCTTTTATCACATCCTTATTATTTTTATTTTTTATTGTATTTTTCCATCACTATTTATACTACTTATATTGCCCTGATGCCCACACCCCCTGCAATTACCACACTGTTGCCCATGTCCGTGAGTTGTTTTTCTTTTTTGCTCAGTCCCTTCACCACCTGACTTCTGCCGCCATAGCTGTCAACATGCTCCTATCTATAGGTCAGTCTCTATTTTGCTTGTTAGTTCATTTGTTTATTAGAGTCTATATGTGAGTGAATTTGTATGGCATTTATCTTTCTCTGACTGGCTTATTTCACTTAGCATAATGTTCTCCAGGTCCATCCATACTGTTTCAAAGAATAAATTTTTCTTCTTTGTTTATAGCTGAGTAGTATTCCATTGTGTAGATGTTCCATAGTTATTTTATCCACTCATCTACTGATAAACACAGGCTGCTTCCATACCTTGGTGATTGTAACTAACACTGCAATGAATATAGGGGTGCTTATATTTTTCAAATTAGTGTTTTGACTTTCTTAGGCTATATTCCCAGAAATGGAATTTCTAGGTAAAAAGGTTATCCATTTTAACTTTTTGAAGTATCTCCATACTGCTTTCCACAGTGGCTGCACCAATCTAGATTTGCACTAACTGTGCAGAAGTGTTCCCCTTTCTCTGTATCTTTGCCAGCACTTTTTAAAAATTTATTTATGATAGCCACTTTGATAGGTGTGAGGAGAGATCTCATTGTGATTTTAGTTTGCATTTCTCTAATGATTTGTGACATTGAGCATCTTTTGATATGTCTATTGGCCATCTGGTGACCTCTTTAGAACAGTGTCTATTCAGGTCCTTTGTGCATTTTTTAATTGGTTGTTTTTTGGTACTGATTTTCTAAGTTCTTTATAAACTTTGGATATTAACACCTTATTTGGTGAATATGTTCTCCCATTCAGTGGGTTGTTTTTTTAATTTTGTTGATGTTTTCCTTTGCTGTGAAATCTTTTTAGTTTGATGTAGTCCCATTCACTTACTTTTTCTTTTGTTTCCCTTACCTGAGGAAATATATCTGATAAAATATAGCTATAAGCAATATGAGATTTTACCGCCTATGTTTTCTCCTATGATTTTAGGGTGTAACATTTAAGTTTTTAATCTATTTTGAATTTATTCCTGTGTGTGGCATAAAAAGGTAGTCTACTTTCATTTTTCTGCACATATTTGTCTAATTTTCCCAACACCATTTACTGAATAAAATATCTATAGCCCATTGTATGTACTTGTTTCCTCTGTTGAATATTAATGAAGTATAAAGGTGTGGGTTATTACTGGGCTTTCTACTCTGTTCCATTGATCTATATGTCTGTTTTTGTGACAGTATAAGGCTGTTTTTATTACTATGTCATTATAGTAAGGATTGATATTAGGTAGTATGATTCCTCCAACTTTGTTCTTCTTTGTTAGGATTTTTTTGCCATATGGGGCCTCTTGTAATTCCATATATATTTTTGACATTTGTTCTAAGTCTGTGAAATACATCATTGGAATCTTGATAGTAATTGCACTGAATCTTTAGATTGCTTTGGGTACATTGACATTTTAATAATGTAAATTTTTCCTATCCAAAGACATGGTATATGCTTCCACTTATCTATAGCTTCTTCAGTTTATTTCTTTAGTGTCTTATAATTTTCCAAGTACTTGTCTTCTATATCCATGGTTAGATTTATTCCTGGTATTTTATTCTTTTTATAGAAATTGTGAATATGATTGTTTTTCTAACTTCCCTTTCTGTTACTTCATTATTGGCATATAAAAATGCAACTGATTTCTGAATATTAATTTTGTATCCTGCTACT